TAAAAATGAGAAGAAGAAAAAGAAGAAAAGAAAAATGAGAAAAAAGAAAAATGATGGAAAAAATGAAAAGAAAATGGAAGAAAAATGAAAGAGAAAATAAAAGAGAAAAACAAAAGAGAAAAATGAAAAAAATAAAGAAAAATAAAAGGGGGGTTCAAGATGAAAACCCGAAAAGGGCGTCTTGGAACCAAATGAGGTCTCAAGTTGAAAACCCGCAAAGGGCGACTTGAGTTGAGTTTGAAATTCAGAATTCGTGCATGGTGGAAGGTTCTGAATCAATTTTGGAAGTGGAAAGAGCTCCTGATATGGATAGTAACAATGACAGTTGGTGATCAGGGATGAGACTCAAGATTAATGAGTCTCGATTGAAATAACCAAGAGAAATTGAATGCACATGAGATTCAATACTGGTTTAGGGCATCCAATGATAGAGATTTGGGAGTTTAGAAGTAGATTCATACTCTTAAGCATCACAATTTTGGAGATCCTTTTGACAGAAGCTACACTTGAGATATTCTAACGGCGTGCCAGTTCAAAAGCACTTGCATTATTGATATTTGAAGACGCCTACTCTTTTGTTCTTTTACTGTTTCCAGTTAAAATTTTGCCATGAAATTACCTAAAAATTCTTTGTATTTATATAAATAAAGAGATGTCTTTCCTTGTTCGTTTCCCTTTTGTAAGCATCTTATTTTGAAAAGTTAAAACATATAGCTTAACTTGAAGTATATAAGATCATTTTGTATTATTGTGCAAAAGGTTTTGGAAAATACAGGTATTCTGAAGCTGATAATGGTTTTAACATGTAAGCTTGTGTGGTTATGGGAGGTTAAAACTTTGGAGTTCGTAGAAAATCTCAGCCATTAAAAGATGACCCTAAGAGATTGTTTTTTGTCGAGAAGTTGGTCATGGATACTGGCGGGTTTCAAGAAAGAAAAGAGTCAAGGTCATGTTAAGCCGAGAGATATGGAATTGAGATTATTAGCCGGGGTGAACTGGTCAAATATTCTGTGCCTAAGATGAAACCGAGTTCCATCGAGATCAAAAGGAAATGGAGTTCATTCGAAGAAGAAAACACATTAAATTGCATAATTGCATACATTTAGGCATGAATATGATCATGGCATTCATAATTGCATGATGACTACAAGTCCGAGGGATAGTTGAAGATTGAAGATGTGAAAGCATCAAGATGAGGATAACTAATTTTTTGAAATCTTGAAAAGAATGATGTTTAGACGACAACTGAGCCAAAGTAGATTCATATATCCAATGGCTTCCAGACAAGTTTTCGCGATGAAGATGGATTTTCAGAAATTTTCTCAAATTCTAAATTTTTGAGTATAATATTTTTCAAACATACATTAATGTTTGGTAATGTTTGATTTTCAGGTTTGGCCTTCGAAACAAGTCAAACTTAAGCCTTCACGAAAGAGTAGTGAAGCAAATCATCTATAAGCCTTCATGAAAGAATAGTGAAGCAAATACGTTTGATGAAGATTGTTCGAGTTCTATACTCACTGAATGAATAGGGAGCGGACCCGTTTGTATGAAGATTTGAGTTCTATACTCTCTGATGGAATAGGGAGCAGACCCGTTTTATGAAGATTGTTCGAGTTCTATACTCTCTGAAAGAATAGAGAGCGGACCCGTTTTATGAAGATTGTTCGAGTTCTATACTCTCTGAAGGAATAGAGAGCGGACCTGTTTGTTGAAGATTGTTCGAGTCTGATACTCCCTGAACGAATAGGGAGCAAACATATTTTATGAAGATTGTTCGAGTCTTATACTTCCTGAACGAATAGGGAGCAGGCTCGTCATTTGAAGATTTTTCAAGTCTTATTTATCCCGGCGTAACAGTGAGTGGTTTAATCTTTTAAAGTTCTCTTGACCGGACAAATTCGATCATCTTTTGATATTTTCTCTATTCTCGTTACATGACAATGAGCAAAGAGGGATAGCTGTAGATGCTCGTTTATGTCCGGGGCTAAGTTAGAACAGATCCGAAGCAATGATGGGCTTAAAGAAGAACCCAAACCATTTGGAGGCCAAATCCAATGATCCTCAGCAAAAACATATTCCAGTCCACGTGAAGCTTGGAAAACAAAAATGGTTAGAAGGAGTTAACAAGGGGAAAAAGGCAGTTAACAAGTTAGGAGCCATTTTGGTAGTGGAGAGGAACACGACTGGGAATTAAAAACTGAAAATGGTCAGTTTTAGGGGGAGATGATTTTTTATTGTTTTTTTACTCAACGGGGGAATGAGAAAAGAGGGGTAGAATATTTCTTCACCCCAGATTCAAAGATCAAAGGGTGTGTGTAAAAGGGATTCATGTAATTTATTCTTTTGATAGCAATACAAACAGAGGAGATTTCAGAGCATTTTTTTTATTAGCAACACAGTTTTTAACAATAGAAAGCAGTAAAAGAAAGAAAGAAAGGGTAGTACATAACCAAAAAAGCAAGCAACAATCATTTCAGTATAGAAGAATCAAGATGTTCACCTTGCTTGGTTCGGGTTCCAGCCAAATTTGAAGTCATCGGAGTACCTTGGTTCGCCACCGGTGATAAAGGACTATCCCTCCATTCAAAAGTAATAGAAAACAGAGGGGTTCATCATCAGCAGAAAACAAAGGTAACAAAGGCTCTTCCCATAATTTCTACCTTTCTCAAAAATAAGGAAAATATGAGATAAACAAAATTAAAATCAAGTTACAAGGTAGTTTCTAAATCTGATTTTAGGGAATTTTTGTTCCTTTTTGTTTCTGTTTTTCATTCGAATTAAAAAAATAATAAAAAAGGATTTGGGTTTTCTTTTTAACATCTTCAATAGTCATCCTTCTGTTTTGGTGAAGAAAGCAATAGGAATGGGTTAGAGTTTGTTTACCTTTAGTGAAGAGGTTTCGCAATCTGGGTCCATCGTAAGGAGCGAGGAAGTCATCGCCAGAGTGAAGTCGGTCGGGCTAGGAAGTCAAGCAGTCGGTGTCCTTTGGTTGTTTAGGTTTTGCATGTTAGATTTAGAGTTGGCTTTAGGGAGTTTAAAGCAAAAAGAAAGGGTTGTGGTAGAACCGACCACTATTGACAGGGGTTAGAGAGAAGAACGATGCACACGTAGGGCATTTTGGGGTTTTGATCGAAGGAAACAAGAGAGGGTAGGATAGGAGTTTTTCATTTGGGTTCTATTTAGGTGTACATAGGCTTCCAACGGCCATTCGGAGCAGGAGTGATATCGATTTAAGGGGGTGAGATTCTCTTCTTTTTCCTGAGAGAGCGGCGCTGCACGAGAGAGAAGAGAGTTGAAAGTGAGAGAGATAACGACTGGGGAAAGAATAAAATAGGTTTAGTTTTTTTTTAACTTAAATAACATATATATGTTCTTATTAAAACGACGTCGTGTAGGTGTTTAAGGTTCCCGTTTGCGCAGGGGTTATTCACCATTTGGGTTACGCAAAGTTTTCATTGTAATTCCTTTTGGTCCTTGAATTGATGATTTCATATTTCTATTTTTACCTCCATATTTTGAGCGCATTCGATTAAGTCCTAACTGGTAATGTATTTAGTTTCTGATTGTTTATGCTTTTGCCTTGTACTTTTACGCATGTTATATTTTAGTCTCAGAATAAAATCTTTTCTATTTTTAATTTAGTTATTAATTGTTGCGTGCATTTAATTTTAGTCACTAAATCAAAGTTTCCAAGATTATAATTTGATCTTCATATTTGTAATCGTTTCCTTTTTAGTCATTAATTTATGTTATTTTTTTTGCTTACTTATGCATTTGGCACGTAATTTTGGTTAATTGGTGTTCTATCCTTTAAATCTAATCTGTTGTGTTTTAATTTGGTCTTTGTATTGCATGTTTATTTAATTTTAGGCACAAATGTTGATTATTTTGTTTTTGTCATTTAGACATTAGAGTTCTATATTTTTGCATGTTTCTTTTATGTCCTAAAGGTTGATTTATTTCTTTATACATTTGGCCATTTAATATATACATGTACAATTTAATTCTTACTTTGTTTGTATTTAAAAATAGTAAAATTTTGTTTAATATGGTTTAGTCTTTAAATATAGTTATCTCGTGAAATTTGTATTTTGGAGTTAATATGTTTTTTTTTTCAAGTCACTTTCGTACATTACATATTAATACATATATATATATAAATTATAATTTATGGTATTTAAAAATCTTTGCATAATGTATGATACCCTCATGAGCATAACTCTACAATATTACATAATTGGATTAAGGGTAATATACTTTTAATTTAAAATTATTTTAAGTGGACAGTCATAACTGATTTGATGTCCGCTTTTAATGATTTTAAATTAAAAGTGTATCTCGAAAGTGAAACAAAAAAATTGATTTGTCACCTAAAATTTGGGAACGAAAGAAAAGGAACTTATTTAAATATATTTAGAAAAGGTTGTTATATCTTTAAGATCTGGTCTCAATATTTGTAAATAATCGAACATTCTTTATCTTTCTAAAACGACTTGGTAATTTTAATTTAATTATTTTGAGTGCTTTTGAATGTTTTAAATTTACATTTTTATCTTATGGGATCAAAAATCAAAATAAATTCGAATTTGTAAAGTTCATTGCAAAGACGTTAATTAATCGACTAGGTACCGATTTAGGGCGTTGTGGGGGTGCTAATCCTTCCCCACACGTAACCGACTCTCGAACTCGGACTTTGGTAACGCAGACCTCAATTTGTTGTTTTAATTAAAATTAATTTTTATTTAAAATGACAAAGCATTTTTGGGTGCCCAATCACACCCTAATCAAAGGTTGGTGGCGACTCTTCGAACCGTATTTTCGATAGTAAAGGAAATTCAAAAATTTTTGAAACGAGAGATGTTTTAAATCGCATAAGTTTTTAAAATAAAAAGAGACAATTAAGAATTAATGTGGTTTTCAAAATCTCACATTTTTTCACCTTTTAAAAAAAATCGTTTTGACAAAACCGAAACTGGCAAAGAAAGGCGAAAACTTACAATTCTCTCCCCTGGCCAATAGGGTTCCAAAACTTCGGGTTGGTAAGTCGTCATCCTTCAACTCCAGTAGTTTGGTAAAATAATGAAAACAAGAACCAAGTAAATCGATATATATATGTAAAAGATCAAAAGAAGAGGCATTAAATATCAGTGCCTACGTCAGTTGCTTTAGGTCCTTTCATTGAGCGAGCAAGAAATTTCTTGTAAGCATTCCTCATCTTCTCTATTGGTTGAGCATAGCTAAAGTTACAGGAAGCTTAATTAGATCAACAAATGTAAATTCACAAGTTTAAATATATCAAAAGTGGATGGATAAAAAGATCTACAAACAAAACCATGGAAAACTTTGACAAAACATGGTTTACCTAAATAAATGCTCTGCAGTATCAGTTGAATCAAGTTCTATCAATCTAAATATTGAAGACAGATATTACCTGGATATCCCACGATTGAGTATATCATTTGCTGCTTTCATCTTAGACTTGGACTCCATGTGCCTTGCATATGCTATATACAATGCTGAATGTGTCTTCCCAATGTCATTTGCATCAAGAAAACTATAAATGACCTCAGCATCACTACAATGCTCAGCCTGGAAATACAATATCCAGTAACATCAAGTCATCAACTTCGCAGCAACTGATTCAACTTTTTAAACTCAGGAAAAACATGTCCATTTCCTTTAGTATGCTTTCCATGTGATCAGCTAACATGCTAAGCAGCCTATTATCAATAAACTTGGCATGTGAGCTAGCATAAACAAATTAAACAACATTAAACTTCACCTCCCATATAAGATGATAAAAAAGAAGGTGAAAAGTACCCACATATTCTAACCAAATTTTGAGGTAGCGGAGGTCATCTTTATAACGATCTGAATTCCAGAAAGCTCGAACACATTGCTCGTAGATCAATACGAGACCCGAAAAGTCTCCACCTGGTGAGAATGCCTCTTGAACCCATTTAATGCAACTTAACCCACAAAAGAAAAGGTACAAAACAAACAATTAGCCGTAGAAACGGACTGCCCATATCTAACTTCGAACAATAACATCTTAATTAAAAAAAATTAAATCAACGGTAGTTGCTCTTCATTTTTTGTACTTAATTAGTTTCAAATTACAATCATTCAAAATGTAAAACTCAAATCTATTTTCAGCAGAACAGAACATTCAAGATTCAAATAAAAGTTAAGTAATGGTAAGAATAGTTACTCAAGCCAAGGCTGGAGATGATCTTCTCCTTTATAGTCGTCAATTGCCTCAATCAATCTCCTAAAGATCCAAAGACAAAGTACCCAGATAAGAAGATGGACCAAAATATAATTTCTTTAAAAAAAAATAGGTCAAGACACAGACACGCACAAGATAATAGTAGATAAAGATTATGGAATAGACCTTCTGTTATCAAGGAGAGATTTCTTGAGTTGATCATCGGTGTGAGTTTTGAGAGCATGGTTTAAGAAATCGACATTGCGGCCTCTCTTCAAAGGCCTGACGTTTTCTTTGAAGAGTTCCCATTCGTTTCCGGTTTTTCGTTTCGATACAAGGAACTCAGTCTCTGGATCCATGGCTGCTGTTCTGTTTGAGAAATGGGAAAGGAGCCAAAAAGAGAGAGAGAGACAGAGAGAGAGAGAGAGAGAGAGGAGAATTCAAAATTTGAAATGTAACAACGGCTCCTCCTAAAGTTGCCGTTTTATGGAAATCAGGTCTTGGAATAAATTAACATACTCATTGGGGCTGCTCTGGGCTGGGCCATTTCCCATTTTTTTTCTTTTTAAATGTTTGGATAAAAATGAGTTTAATATGCCCAAGTTTTGACGTTCACATATCAAGTTGGATTTGACCCATATATATATATATATATATATATATATATTTATTTTTGTATTTTTTATAGGGTAAACTACACGGGAGACCACTAAACTATGGTCATAAATGAATTTAACCACCGAAGTTTTAATTGAAAAATCAGACCACTCAACTATTTAAATGTTTTAATCAAGTCACCGACTATTAGTTTTTAACGGAGGTGGTGACGTGTTATTAATAAAACTGGCACAATTCTATATTTGTCCTTAATATTTATATATTCTATCAATTTAGTCACTATTTTAATTCAATTAAATAAATTTAACTATCCAATTAGAACGTGACATGTGTCAATACATAATTGGAAGGTTTTATTTATGAATTTTAAATTATTTAATTAAATACTTTTTCTATCCATTCAGGTGGTGACATGTGTCACCACCCAATTGAAGTGAAAATAAAAGGACAAAGTTGCGCTCCAGAAGATTCAAACCAATGTCATGGGGATTATGAGCAACCAAGCGCCCAAACCATTGGGCCAAAGATCCCCAATGGTTTAAAGCTACAACAATTTGTATTTGAATTTGCAACCTTCTCGACTTTGCAGGTTCACACTCTTCATCTTCTTCTTCTCTACCTTAACCAAACCACCACCTTCTCCATTAACAACAAATCGAAGTCTATAAAGTTTGAATTTTATGTTTTTTAATCCTGAGGGTATAGTAGAGAGAGACGATAATAATGGGACGTCGTCTCTTTTCTTGTTTCGGCAAGGGTTCATCTTCATCTTCATCAGGGACTGAAAACCATGCCAAAACCAATGGAACGGTATATAAAGCTCCGCTCCCTGAAGGTCCGATCATGGTGGAATTGTTTTCTTCCCAATGTTGCACGACGTCCCCGACGGTTGAGCTTTTGCTGTCGAGGCTAGGGAGAGGCGATTTCCATCTTGAAGCTCCGGTGATCGTGTTGGCTTATCACGTCGATTGTTGGGACTATAACGACTAGAAATACCCTTACGGATCGAGTTTATGAACTATAAGACAAAATGCTTATATCGAAGCCTTGAAACTTGACACCATGTTTACACATCAGGTTATGGTTCAAGGGAGGGCTCAATGCATGCTTGATGATGAAGATGTTCTTTTGTCCACCATTACTACTGCTCCCATATTTCCAGCTCCATCATTCAAAGTCTGTTTTTGCTTTACTTTTCTTTGTTTTCTTCCAACACTTTATCGTTATAACTTGGAAAAACTGCACTACTGTCCGATTATAGGCGAATTTCCAGAGGCCGAGGAGCTTTGGTAGTGGTTTGGTTGAGGTAGAGAAAAAAAGATGAAGAGTGTGAACATACAAAGCCGAGAAGGTTGCAAAGACAAATACAAATTGTTGTAACTTTAAAGCATTAGGGACCTTTGGCCCAATGGTTTGGGCGCTTGGTTGCTTATAATCCCCCCGACACTGGTTCGAATCTCCTAGAGCGCAAATTTGTCCCTTTATTGTCACTTCAATTGGGTGGTGACACATGTTTATGAACTATAAGACAAAAAGGTTATATCGAAGCCTTGAAACTTGACACCATGTTTACACCTCAGGTTGTGGTTCAAGGTAGGACTTAATGCATGTCTAATGATGAAGATGTTCTTTGGTCCACCATTGCTACTGCTCCCATATTTCTAACTACATCATTCAAGGTTTGTTTTTGCTTTACTTTTCTTCATTTTCTTCAAGCACTTAATCGTTATAACTTGGAAAAGATGCACTACTCTCCGATTACAGGCAAATTTCCAAAGGCCAACATCGGAGACATTGCAAGTGATACTAACAGGAGGAGCTTTGGTGGTGGTTTGGTTGAGGTAGAGGAGAAGAAGATGAAGATGAAGAGTGTGAACCTACAAAGCCGAGAAGGTTGCAAAGACAAATACAAATTATTGTAACTTGAAACTATTGGGGACCCTTGGCCTAATGGATTGGGCGCTTGGTTGCTCATAATTCCCCTGACACTGGTTCAAATCTCTTGGAGCGCAACTTTGTCCCTTTATTTTCACTTCAATTGGGTGGTGACACGTGTCACCACATGAATGGATAAAAAAATTATTTAATTAAATAATTTAAAATTCATAAATAAAATATTCCAATCATGTATTGCCACATGTCACATTCTAATTAGATAGTTAAATTTATTTAATTGAATTAAAATAGTGACTAAATTGATAGAATAAGTAAGTATTAAGGATCAAATATAGAATTATGCCAGTTTATTAACGGACACATCACCACCTCCGTTAAAAATTAACGGCCGGTGGATTGATTGAAACATTTAAATAGTTGAGTGGTATGATTGATTCAATTGAAACTTCGGTGGTCAAATTGATTTTTGACCATAGTTTAGTGATCTCCCATGTAGGTTACCCTTTTTTATATTATATAATTTATATTTATTAAACAATTTATTTACTTTTTTATATAAAAAATAAAATTATTGATCGTAATCTAATATTAATTAGGACAAAATCAATGTTTTACACACCATAAACTTAATCGGCAATAGTTAAAACTCTTTGAAACAACGTTATAATAATTATTCACAGTAGTAATGGGTTTGAACTAAATTTCAAAAATTTTGTAATCAACTTAGTTTAATTAAAAAAATCAATTTTAAAATTTCATATTTATATTTAACATCTTGCTTTAATTTGAATAATTAAAATTTTGTTTCATTTCATTTTTAAAATATATAATTTTAAATTAAAATAATAAAAATATATATTTAAACTTCTTAAAACTTAGGGTAAATTATGCATTTAGTATTTAAATTATCAGTTTTGATCCGTTTTAGTTCCTAAACTTTCATTTTTTTTCGAAACCATACATAACGTTTAATTTCTTGTTTCATTCTAGTACTCCGCAACTAAAAACTTAACGTACAAGCCCATCGGCCATCGCATCCGTCAGCCGATGAAGTCCAAATTTTTCAACCACACCTTTTCGACCCCTTAAACGCAATAACGACCTCTGTTTCATCAAGAAATGCCTCAATCTCTCCCAAGTTGATGATGAACTTTTCGATTTCTTCATCATCCGATCTTAATGATTCACCATCTAATAGGTTTGAAACTGGATTATGTTAGTCGAATCGTCATTCTCTCGTGGTCCACAATTCAGATTGGTTGTCCGTCCACCAGAGCTATGCCATGTCAGCCTATCCATTAAGTTTTTAACGACAGGATACTAAAATGAAATAAAAAATAAACATTATGCATGATTTAAAAAAATAAAAGTTTAAGCATTAAAACGGATAAAATTGATAGTTTAGGTACTAAACAAGTAGTTTACCCTAAAAATTATAATTTAACCCCGAATAAAGGCAGAATAATTTTGGCGGAGTCCCTCACTTGCCCTTGAGCTTATCCGAATTCATCCAAAACTAGTTTTTTTTTAATTGAAGAACCCTCTTTTTCTTCTCTTTCATATATCCTCTTCTTAACCATGACAAAGAACCCTCTTCCTTGATCAAACAAACCAACCCAAAACACTCACCGCCCCCCCCCCCACCAAAAAAAAAAAACAAAGAAGAAGAAGAAAACCTCGTTTAGCAGGCATCATCCATGGCAGCTCTATGGTTTAACTCACTGCCAGGAACCCTAGAAATGAACCCAACATCATCTGTTAGTCCAAACCCTAAGCTGTCTTTTGCTTCATTTCACTGTGATAGCAAGAAAAGGGTATCTAGAATGGCAGTCAAAGCAGCCAAATATAAAGGGACTCAAATGAGGGAAAAGAAGCTAACCGAGTTGATTGAGAAAAAGGTTTTAGAAGCCAAGCAAGTGTGTGAAGGAGATGGGACATCTGACGAGTGCAAGGTGGCTTGGGACGAGGTCGAAGAGGTAAGTCAAGCCAAGGCTGATCTCAGGCTTAGACTTCAAATTGAAAAGAAAGATCCTTTGGAATCCTTCTGCCAGGAAAACCCTGACACTGAAGAGTGTAGGATCTATGAAGATTGATGAACCAAAAACAAAAGTAATCATTTTTTGGACCTGCTAGTGTTATTTAGTTGAAAATAGTAGTGAGGGATTGTTAATTTGTTGTTTGAAACTTTGAATTATTAATCCAAAGTGTATGGTATGGATCTTCATTGTTATTCTGTTTTCAATCAAGCTGAGTTATGTTATGAAATTAGACCATGTTTATTAGAGATTAGCTTTGCTCAAATATCTGTGTTATAGTTATGTATCTGTCTTCTATCCTCGAAAAGCTTCGATTTTTTAATATATATTTTGGATCGAATGTGACCAAAAAACAACAAAGCAACTGTGATCAAATCAGATAGATATCAATCAAAATCAGATTAAATTTTGGACTCACCAGTGTTGGTTTGGTCCCCCTGAATCTTGAAGAGCAGAAAATGAGTTGGATGATAGATATCCCATCCACTTGTATCTTTAAACCACAATTTTTATGTATTTTGATGGGATTTTTAGTTTCTAGGATCCTTGTTGATTTTTTATGTAAGCTCAGTTAATGTTCCTATTCCGGACCATAAGTAATCAGGTCCACAGCTGAAGGAAGAGTTGCAGGTGACAACACTTGTATTATTGTATACATCCTCAGCAAAGAGTTAAGCAACAATTTGATGACTGGCATTTGACAGTCCCAGCACGAAGGATCGCTATTCGCTAAACCATAGTGAACCCTTGAGTGCATTGCATTTTAACCATACCTGTGTCTGAATAATCTCATCACTTGCAGCAACCTCTTTCAAGAATCTATTGAGGGTATCATTAGCAGGTCCAGTGTCCCTGACCGCACTCGAGCTGTTTTAGCAGTTCTTCAATCCTTGGATGAACAACAGGACGGGATGCTTCCCTGGAACAGGCACAGCCGTTGAATTTTCAAAACAAATATCTTTTGTGGCTTCTCACTATGATTCCAACGTGCTCCTGTCTTAGATCATCCTAATTTATCTGTTTTATTAGTTCCTTGTTCTCTTGATGGGTCCTAGTTCCTCTGCTTTGTTCATCGACCAAGATGGTTTATCATCGGTCTCTCATCGCCCACTTTGGGTGACTTACCAGAGAGTTGAGTGGCATCAATTATAAAGCATTTGAATCCTCCTGAGATACGTAAACTTGCAAAGTTGAACCCAACATTTAGAGGTGCTTCTTGGGTTGAGAAAATTTGGGGTTTGTTTATTGTTATCTATCACATATATTGGTTGGTTGTTAGCTCAACATTCATATGCCTGTTTCATTAATGGCAGGAGGATTTGGTTCCTTTCGCAGGCAGTGGCTGGATAAGAACACAAGTGGTGTCTGTGTTGGAGGATACAAGTACTATGATTGCATCTTTAACTTAAACATTTTTAAAGTAAATGGTAAGATTCAAATCCACACAAAATGAGAAAATGTGAACATCTTTGATCACTATCAATTAGTAAATCTTAATTTACAATGATATTTTAATTCCAATGACAATTCACGTTACATAATTGATTTAGTTTTTCTTTTGAAGGGGAACAAATAAAAGGTTTGTATAATCAAATACCCTTTCTCTTATTACTCATTCCCACACAATTATGTAGTGCAATTTTTCCCTAGTCAACAACATTTATTATATCTCCATTAAACAAGTTGTACTTGGGCACCTCACCAAACCAACACTATTAAATGAATGATGATAATATTTCAAGCAATATAAAATTCAATTTTAAAAAGTTTGATTTAATTTTAAAATTCCTTCTGTCCCGATTGGCGGCCTCACATGCTTTATGGGGGACTTCTTCCACCCAGAAAAGGTAAGTCATATCTCGTAAAACTTTCCTCGCTAAAATATGTGCTACCTGGTTCCCATTTCTTTGTGCGTAGGTGAACTTGCATGAATAGAAATATGATGGTTTGGCTCGAATGTTATGGATTACATGCATATAATTGGTGATTTTTGAGTTGATTTGGATTAAATTGGATCGGAGTCGTCATTGACTTTTGGGGTTAGGTAGGTTAAATACCTAAAAACATCTTTTAAAACAATTTTAAGAAAAAAATGTTTTTAAGACAAAAATAGGTATGCGGTATCAAAGATTCAATTTAATGGGTCTGAGACTCGGTTACGTGTGAGTAAGGATAAGCATCCCTACAACACCCGAAAACTAGTACTGAATCGCTTACACATTGTCGTAAATAGTGGAAAGTATGAATCGAATATAAAGTAAAAAATGATCCATTTATTAAAGTGTGATTAATTTGCACCGAATTATTCAGTTAGAGAAAATTCTTTAACTTGAAAAGAAATCTCGAGATTTGCAATCCTCCATCGGGAAGACTATCTCGTCTATTTCTCACCTGTAAAGCATATTCCCTCCTTGATAAATATGCGTATTGAATATAAACTGAAAATTGACATTTGAATAAAATATTTTGCTATTTTAGAAACATATATTGTGTCATTTGAATTAGAACCGATTAATTAGCACTAAAATAACTTTGATTCATTTCAAGCTCTCATTTTTTTCGATCATCGTATCGGATTGCAATACTTTGATTAAGTGATACTTTCCACGCCCGTTCGAAAAATGCAATTCTCGAAAATATTCGAATAATATTTGTAGATAAAGGCGTACAATAAAAACAAATGCGAATGGACATAAGTGAAATAAAATATTTACAATAAATAAAGCCAATAATATTTAATTAATATAATACAAATGACTACATAATATGTAAAATATGTACATGCATAAGAAACTGAAATAAAAACAAATGAATATTACAAACCAAAATACAATGAACAAAAATAAAGCATTTGTTAATTCAAAGGACCAAAATGGGGAAAACAGAAACTTGAAGGAGCTAAACAGTAATTACAAACAACCCAGAGCCAAGATCAAAAATATTAAATAATACAGGTACTGGAAATGAAAATAACCCATTAACAACATTAAGGACTGGAATGAAACAAACCAAAAACATAAAAGGGCAAATAATATTAATCCTAAATACAACAATATTAAAACAGTGACCAAAACGAAACAAACATAAATCAAGGGTCAAATTTGAATATCAACAAAAATACACAACACATGAAATCAGTGACTAAAATGAAATAATCACAAATATTGTAACCAAAGTCAAATATAAACGAAAATAGTATGATACATAGGATGATGACTTATATGTAAATGTAAGAAATTAAATGCTAGAAAAGGAATAATACAAAGCTTGGATTAATGGCCAAAATAGATTGATACAAACGACCAGGGCCTAAAATTCTATTAGCCCATGCACGAAAATACACTGAACCCCCCACACACGACGTCGTTTTACACTTAATATATATATATATATATATATATATATATATATATATATATAATATCCAAGGCCAAAAATGGCCACCCCCTTCATTTGTTCGACCTTTTCAACTGAGGAAAGAGAGAGAGTTTCCCAAACTCTACCAACTTCCCCTCATCGGAAAGAGGGAGTCGTCTCTCATCGGCGACAGTCATGACGGCTCATGGCGAAGCTCACGGTGACTCACGGTGGCCAGAGGGAGCAAACGTTCCCAAAAGGCTCATCTCTTCCTCCTTAACCCGAAAACGAACCTCGTTCAACATAAAAAAAACCCTCTAAAGCCCTATATATAGTCTTTTACCTCTTGAGAACTTTGGAAACTGGTAACTTTTGGACTCCCCACTTTTTTCGAACCAATGTATGTGTCTCTCTTTCTCTCTTTTGGCTTTGTGGTTCTCATTTTTTTTCTCTCTCTGTTGTTTGTTTCTTTTTTTTATATTCGAATCCCCTTTTTATTTTCCTCCCATCCCCTTTTGTCTTTTATACCCTTTTGCATGTGATGGTTTGATGGATTTACTACTGCCTATTGGGCCAGATCTCCCTCGAGATTTCTTGGATTTGCCTCTTTATATTTATTATTTTTTCTTGTCTATTGATGGATTGTTTTGACTGATGGGAGCTTGTGACTTATTTTTTTATTTATTTTACTATTTATGACAACATCAGGTGGATCGAGGACTCACCAGTGATAGCCCACAAAACTGAGAGGTGACCGGTGCAGCTCACGCGCGTCTAGAAGACGAAGGGTCAGGCGCGTGTACCACATACGCCGACGAGGGACTGTTCCACTTTAGTAAACGGCGACGATTGTTGGATTAGGGTTTAAAAACCCTAATTCTTATTTGGGTTACAAATGGGTTTGGAGCTGGGCAGGGTCGGATCCTGGACTACTGAGTGGGCTTCGAGTCTGGATCCTAGGTTGGGTCTTGTAATTAGGTTGACTTGTTGGGCTTCATTTGTAATCTGGGCTCAGGGTGACATCATGCAAAATAAATGTAAATAAATGTTAATATAATAATAATAATAATATTTTTTAAGCCCCAAACAAAAACGAGTGTCTAAAGATGCCCTTTTTGCACATTCTTGTGTTAACAAGAATAGGGCAAAGACGAAAAAGACAATAAGTTTTTGTCCGATTCTCTTTTTTGGTTTTGAGATTTGATATGTTTATTGTCGGAGATGACACTGCTCATACGTGATGAAGAGTTCTGGTCGTCTAAGGGTGACACAACTCTTACGTGATGAGGAGATCTTGTCGGTGGATGACATGGTTCATACGCAATGAGGACAGATGGCCATCTTTAGGGATGATGATAACACGGTTCCTACGCGATGAGGATGACTGGTTATCTAGGGGTGATGCGGCTCCTACGTGATGAGGAGATATGGATGACACGGTTCCTACGTGATGAGGATGATAAACCATCTTTAGGGATGATAACACGGTTCTTACGTGATGAGGACGACTGGTTATCTAAGGGTGACACGACTCCTACGTGATGAGGATGACATGTCATCTTTAGGGATAATGGTTTCAAGAGAAACCGTCTCAAGAGAGACAAAACTTGTTTCAAGGGAAACAACCTCAATGTTTATGTTTTAAGGAAACTGTCTCAAGAGAGACAAAATTTGTTTCAAGGGAAACATACTCAAAGATTTGTGTTTCAAGAGAAACTATCTCAAGGAAGACAAAACTTATTTCAAGAGAAACAGACTCAAAGATTTTTTTCAAGAAAAACTGTCTCAAGAGAGACAAACTTTGTTTCAAGAGAAACAGACTCAAAGACTTTTGTTTCAAGAGAAACTGTCTC